CTCAATTTTACTGACAATTCAAATGTAGCTTCATGAATGTTTTCATCAAGAAAGCAACGTTTTGGGGGGCTGAAGATCAGTACCTGAAAACAATTCCGTTTTGATAATGCAAATACAACAGCAGACGTATGGAAAAAAGTACACTTCCTTCTCTGCAAGGAGAGAACAAAATTTCCCATTTTAATGGGGATATATAAAACTTATGACTTCCGGGGCCGTCCTCTCTTACCGATTTTCCCCGAAGTGGATTGCACACTTTTACTAGAAGAAGGTGGGCGACCCCTTCCACGCCCACTACCTTTTCCCCGTGGCGTTTTTTTAGGGCCTTTACCTCGACCCCTGACACGCTGCCTCTTCTGCTCAGCCTGCCCATTGGACTGTTCTTCACTGCTGTCACTCGCCTCGTCACTACTCTCATCGTCCTCTTCATCTTCTGAATCAGAGACCTTCTTTGACTTCTTCCGCTTCTTTGTGTCACTGGATGCCTTAGTACCACCTTTTCTATTATTTTGCTTAGAGATTGGACTATTGCTCACTGGTTCCTCGCTCCCTGCTGGGAAAGTAATTTCTATGTTAGTTACAACCTAATGTGGAAATCATTGATCATATTCAATAGGAGACGCTATAACCCCATTGACATACCTTCACCAGCAGGTTTGCCGTCATATATGTCAAGCTGTCAAAAACGCAAAACATTAAGACACATTTATTCCGAAATAATAACTACATCAAACCAGACCAAAACTATCTATCCTTGAGGAGCATAAAAGACATCTCTGCACCCATTCCAAGGTCAGGATTGAAGAGAAGAGACACAATTAAGCTTTATAAATTTGACAACACAAGAGAGGGAGAGGGAGGGGAATCAAAACTTTCTGATAATAAAAATTTTGTAAATCCAAGAACGGAGCAATGAAAACAAAAATCTAAACAGCAGTTTCTTAATTCATAAATAGCTTCAGACTGGTGATGCCAAGCATACGCCATTACTAGAGCCCATGTCAGTCTCTCATTCAAGAAGCACAAAATCACAAACTCATAAAACCCCTTTCTGACTAAATGAGTCACACTCAAACTTACGTTGCCAAAGACCAAACTAATCCAGTTAGTCAACACCAGTAGTACCACAAGTTAGGTACAACTGATGTAGGAAGTGCCATATAGAAACCACAGAGAACACAATTTTTAATACCAGGAGATTATTCAACTTTCACTTTTAGGAAGTTACCTGTTCGAGTCTGTCTCCAACGTTAGTTCTATCAACAATGACCATGGAGAGGCCAAAACCACATGCAACACTGAAAAGAAAAAATTGAAAAATACTACTTAGTACATTAATGGTACACTTGGGAATCTACGATTCTTCTTAAAGATAGTAGAGTTTATTGTGTTAATGAATACCCACTTGATGACATGCATGCCCTCCAGAATATCAACCTTCTTAGGCACAGCTGAAGATCTGAAAAGCAGGCAGATAAAAGAATGAACCAAAAAAAAAAAGAATAAAAAAGGCCTTCTTTTGTGGGGCAGGGGTGTATTTTGATATGTGAGAAACACATACTTTTGTCCATTAGGACCATATCCGAGCTCTCCATACTGAGCATGCCCCCAACTTATGCAAGAGAAATCAGCACCAACAAAATGGTGCATACTGCCTGAATCCATGCAGCGTAGATTCCAACCACTAGAAAAAAGAAAAGAATGAAAAAAAAAAAAAAATTCTTAGATACAATATATTATTGAATGAAACTAATATTTACACTTTACTTTTTCTGAAATTCTTACCAAGTCTCAGAGGTTACTAAGATTTCTATATTATAAAAAATAATCAGAATATTGAAAACAATTTCTTTCCACTATGCTATCAGTTTGCACATCAAAATTCAAAATGTTATCATGAAAGAAGGGAAGTAGATTTAGAATGCAATGATGGCTACAATAAACACACACAAAAAGAAAGAGAAATTGTGTTGGATTCATTAAGCCAACTAATCCTGATAAATAGTGAATTTGAAAAAAAGTAGTACAGTACATCAAAGAAAGCAACTTGACCATAGCACAGAAAGAACTGAACCTTAAATCCAAGAGAGGTTTAGGATACATCCAGTCATCACCAGTATTCTTTATTTTGCCCCACATGTACAACTGCCCACCACCTGAATGCAAAGAACAAAAATAAAAAAACCTGAACTTGAGAACATAAATCTGGCAAGACTGATTTTAAGGCTAAAACTGGAACATACAACTGATTTTATTTTAAGCCTCGATCAAGCAGAGAAATACAGAGTAGTTGACAGGGGTAAGTGCATGGTACCTGCAGTACATGCAGAATTCACAGAACCAGCTGAAACAACCGCATTAGGAGGCAGAACATTATGCTTGGTAAAAACTTCAACACGACGTGGGACCCACTCATCTTTCTGTTCTCTATGTCCAAGCCTATATATCAGAAAAGTAGAAGTTACATGCTTGATAACAAAGAAAAATGGCCTCCAGCTAAAATCATTTTAATCTTGTAAAGTTCATCCAAAATCTTGAATGCAGCTGCAGTGCCCAACAACATTATAAACAAAGTCGATCATGAGAGATGGCAAACACACCTTCCATAACCACCAAAGCCCCACCTAGACATCCACAATAGATATTATCAATTGTTTATTTTCACTGGATATATATGAAAGTAAGATGCATAGCTCTGCCAAATTAATTTATGAAGTAGCTTACGTGTAAACATAACCATCTTTGTCGACAGCCACTGGAAGCACAACCAAATGAACAAACAATAATAAGTATATAGAATGAAATAAAAGGCAGAGGGGGGGAAAGTTTAATATAGAGTAAACATCGAAGAGAGACAACAGGGATATTATAAACCTGTATGGTTTGTTCCACAAGCAACTTTGACAATAGTTTCCCTAGAAAGGGCAGCTATGGCCCTTGGAAGAGGCTGGGCTTCATAAGCAAGTCTCACTGAGCTATCCTTGGTATTGTACTACAACCAAACATATATGCATCACATTTCCACATAAAAAATAAGTCAGCTTCCATCACACTTTTAAGCGGGCATAAAGCTAAGGTGGCCAAGGTCTAATTGAAGACATATCTAGAGTCTAAACCATACATACAGGTCAGATGGGCAATTTGGACAGCTAAAACCAGAACTTGAATG